GACACATGTGTAAATACCGAATAGTTTCTCTGGTGTGAGAAACTCAAAGTGTAAATAAGGATTAAAATAATTAAAACGAATAATTGATAATTTGAAATAGGAAGAAAAGGTCCAAAGGGGTAGGGGTGAAGAGAGGGGAAGGGGAAAGGAAAGAAGGGAAAGGAAAAATTATATGAAAAGGAAAAAATGGAAACAAAGTCTTTGTAAATAGGGAAGGGTGGAGCGGGTGAAGGGTGCACAGGGAATGAGGAAAAACTAAGAACCAAGATACATCATGTACAGGTACAAGTACCCAATGATAAATGTAAATGTATTTTATACCTAAAATGTACCAATAAAAGAATTTAGGGGGGAAAAAAGCAGGCATGCAAAAAAAAAAGAAAAGAAAAGAAATCAACCGGTAACAAATGCTGGCAGGCTGTGGGGAAAAAGGAACGCTTCTCTACTGTTGGTGGGAGTAAACTGGTACAACCAATATAGAAATCAGTATGGAGATTGCTCAAAACACTAAAACTAGAGATTCCATTTGACTCAGCTCTTCCCCTCCTTTATATCTTCCCGAAAGTTAAAAGCATCTTACCACAGCAATATATGCACACCCATGTTTACACTAGCACAGTTTGTAATAGCTAAATCTTGGAAACAGCCCAGATGCCCATCAACAGATGAATGGATAAAGAAAATGTGAGTTGCTGGGCTGGGGATTTAGCTCAGTGGTTCTGCCGCCTGCTTTGCAAGTGTAAGGTCCCAAGTTCCATCCCTGGTACAAAAAAACAAACAAAAAATGTGGGTTGTATATACAATAGAGTACTACTCTGCCACAAAGATAAACTTGAGACATTTTTAGGTAAATGGATGCACCTTGAGACCAATTTTTTTTTTTTTTTTTGAGGCAGGGTCTCCCTTTGTAGTTCAAACTGCCTCAAACTCACAGTGATCCTCCTGCCTCAGTCTCCAGAGTGCTGAGTGCTGGGATTACAGGTGTGTGCCACCACACCCGGCTCGAGACCATACTTTCAAGTAAAAATAAATGAGACATACATGTTTAAATATCTTGTTTCTCTTGTGTGAGAAACCCAAAGGATAAACAAGGACCAAAATGGATGACAAATATTGGGAAGTAGGAAGGAAGTGTTCAAATGGGAAGGGAATCAGAGAAGGGGGAGGGAGAAGTGAAGCAAAGGAAAATGAATGAGAATAGAAGGAAAAAACTGAAACAAAGCTTTTGTAAAAGGAAGAAGAGTTGAAGGGAGGGGAGGGAAATGGGGGTGATCAAGATACAAATTCCCAGGCTGGAGATTTAGCTCAGTGGTTCCGGTGCCTGCCTCGCAAGCACAAGGTCCCGAGTTCAATCCCCGGTACCAAAAAAAAAAAAAAGAAGATACAAATTCCCTATGATGTGATCATTATGTGTATCAAAAGTGTACCTGCAGGCCAGGGATTTAGCTCAGTGGTTCCGCTGCCTGCCTGGAAAGCACAAGGTCCCAAGTTTGATCCCTGGTACCAAAAAAAACCCAAAACAAACCAAACAAACAGAAAGTCTACCAGTAAAATTAACTGAAAAATCTTTTTAAAATTTTTGCAGTAGTAGGGATTGAATCTAGAGCCTTTGCACTGATATACATCCCCAGCACTTATTTCAAGGCAGGGTCTGACTAGTTTACCCAGGCTAGATTCAAATTTGAGATCCTCCTGCTTCAGCCTCCCAGAATGCTGAAATTACAGGCATGCACCACCATTCCCAGCTCTATTTGCTTTTTATGTATTGGTTTATCCTTTATTCAAAATTGTTGAGACCATGTGTATTTCAGATGAGATTGCGTGCATTCAGGTTGGTATGGGCATAGACTGGATCACCTGTATTTCAGAATTCAGAATTTTTGCGAGTTTAAGCAAAAGTTTCAATGTTGACTGCTGGACTAACTGGGATTAAAATTACTGATATTGGGCTGGAGGTGTACCTCATTGTTAGACTGCTTGCCAAGCATGCACTAGGTCCTGGCTTCAGTTCCCAGCACCATAGTAACAAAATTGCCATCAGTGAGTAAAGTGGAACATTGGTGGTGGTAGTGGTGGTGGCGTCTGGATCCAGGGATGTTGCTTATTTCTAAACCAGCATCTTGGTCTCAGTGAACTACAAATGACAACAAAACTAATGTGTGGCAGGTAATTTTTTATTTTTTATTTTTGGTAGTAGGGATCGAACTCAGGACCTTGTGCTTTCGAGGCAGGCAGTGGCACCACTGAGCTAAATCCTCGGCCCCATCTCTTTTTATCAGCCTCCATTTTTTGCTAAGTGTATGAATTGTTAATTTTCTTGCCACCCCTTTTCAAGCTACAGCCAAACTGACAGTCATTTCCAGTCTTTCTGTCTTGCAACCAGAAAAGTGAAGTAACTCCTAGCTCTCCCAAGGGACCATGGCCCTGGCCTGGTCTTTGGTTACTTTTACATGAAACTATAATGCCTTAACCATGATTCTTGGGAAAAAATAATGATCAACCACTTATGAACAAAAACCTCTCTCCATCAGCCAATAACCAGTTATTCTCCTAATCTCTCCTGGTTAACACAGGTGATACATAGACTTGGTAAATTTATCTTTCAGTGCTCAGTGCAATGAGACAGTCTGCAGTTGCTTCAGCTTTCTCCATCCTTACATGTAACACTTGAAAAGTCACCTACTTTTTCTATGCAAAACAAGGCCTTTTACCCTAACATACTTAAATTTGAGGACTAGAAAGAAAAAAGGCAATCCAGTGTCTTGACATTGGGCTGTGAAGTTTGTAAAAGCTTGCTTTGTGTGCTAAAATTTAAACAGGGACTTGACTTTTGAAAAAGTGGGTGTTTTGTTGAAAATTTGAGGTGATACAGTTTCACTGTGAGGTTTCTTAACACTCATTTTTCTAGTGTTTCTTATGCTTCTGGGACTCCCTAGGCAGAGACTCCCAGGAATCACAGGCTGCCCCAAATGTACTCTTTTCTCCTAGAAGCTCCTTCCCAAGTCAGACATTCAGCTTCTTGCTCTTCTGATCCCTGAAACAAAGAGCTTAAAATAAGTAACTTTCAATTACCATAATAAGGTACCATGGTAGATAAAGATTAAACCAAAGGAATGAATCTGAATGGTTGGAACTAAAGGGACTTTGACATCAATATGAGAAGTGTCTGCCTGAGAGTCTTCCCGCTGCCCAGAAGTCCACAGATGGTCAGCAACCTTCTCCATACACTCCATGGGCGCCCACTTGCTCCTGAACTTAGCAAGGTGAGGTGATGCTCATAACCAATGCAGGTTAAACAGCTCAAGTAAAAGGCACAAAAAAAATCATGTTACTGTTACAAAACATATGAATGTGACATCAGGGCAGCAGGGGATTGATAATGTCATCAGAATGTTAATACTCATGTCATAAAGAAGTTTTGGTGGTAGTGATTAAATTATGACTGGGAAAGTTGGTGAGACGTTATAATGTTAAGTCAGGACCAGAACACTGGGCTAGTGTTTAAAGAATTTCATAATACGCCTTTTAAAAATCTGGCACATGCAAATGATAATGGGTCAACTGCTGTAAGGTTCAGGGCAAACCTACTGATCACTCTTTCCCTATATTACCAGCCACTACTCTCCCCTCCCCCCACAAAACACGTGCTACTTAACACATCACATATTTCCAAACTGGCTTCGAAGAATTACTTTTCAGGAGTAGTGTGCAAACTGCCCACATACGTTAAAACCAACCTGACAATTCAAAGTAAACTCTTCTCATCGCAGGGGTTCCTTTTGGGGAACCCTCCCTGTCTGTGGGGATTAGGGATTCCCCGAGGAATTTTTCATAGATGAGAAAGGCAACTTTTCAGTCCTTGGTCTCGAGTCTCTGCACCGCCCTCTCCGCCATTCTCACTAATGCGTCGAATGAGCGACAATGAACTCTCCCCGCTCTGGCTTCCCAATTGCACGGTCTTCAGAGAGAAGAGTTCCTTGCTCCAGCGCCCCGGCTAAAGCGAGACGCAGGAAATGCCCGCCTCTCTTAAGGCAGACGTTCCGCCAAAACGGAAATCCATGAAGCTCAAGGGACTGAACTGGAGAGGAGAGAAACGATAAGGAGAGGAAAGAGCGCCCCTCGGAGGACGCTGACAGGGCACCGGGACGCTCACCTGGCGCCATCAGCCCGGTGCCCCGGAACGCACGCCGAGGGCCGGCCCCCTCCCCCCGCCGTCCCGAAGAGCCCTCTCGCGCCCCCGCGCGCCCGGCCGGGGACGCACGTCCGCGCGCTCTCGCGGCGGGGGGGGCGGGGCCGGCGCGGGAGCGCGCGCGGAGCCGCGGGCAGGGGGGCGGGGCAGCAGAGCTCGGCGGCTGGGCCTGGAGGACAGCGGCGGTGGAGACGACGGCGAGCAGTGGGAGCGGCGCCGAGAGGCCGTGCGGAGCGCGGGCACCAGGAAGGGGGAGCGCAGAGGTAACGCAGTACGGAAAAGGCGGGCGAAGACTGGGTGCGGACTTGCGGGGCCCCGAAGGCGGGTAGTGGAGGCCGCTTGCCTTGTGCGCCGACGCGGCTCCCTGAAAGGAGGGGTCGGGGCGCTCGAATCCCGAGAGGTGGCGCCTTTTGTATGCCTGGGGCGGCCGCTCCGCCCCATCTTTCCCCAGCGACCTGGCCCCTTGCCCCTCTCGCGGACGCCTCCTCCAGGGCCCTGCGGCGCGCTCCCGCCCTTGTTTTGTTTGGACTTGGGGGAGGAGGGGAGGGCTTCCCTGGCCGTGCGCTCCTGCATCCCAGCGCGCCTGCGCCAGTGTGTGCCGCCGTCCCCGATTGGCGGCGGTCGCGCCTGCGCGGAGGCTGCGCGGCCTGTCGTCCGCCGCTCCCTCCCCTCACCCCACTCCCTCTGCGGTCTTCGGAGCCGGTTCGAAAGATGCCAGCGGCGGTGACTGGCTGCGGCGGTCCCGCCCCCTGGGTTCTCCGCCCCTGCCGCCGCCGCCGCCGCCATTACGGAGCGCCCAGTGGTGAGTGTGCGGAGCCAGAGCCCACACTCCACCGCTTCTCCCGCGGTCGTCCCGACGCCCCGCGTTCCTGCCGAGCAGAGCCTGCTCAGCGTCGGCCTCCCCGAAATAACCTGATCCGGTCCCCGCGTCTTCTACCCCGTGTTGCGCGTTCGGTACTGAGGCCCTGCAGCGCTACCGCTCGCTGCATTGCGTCTTTGTCTTCGCTGCTCTTCGCCGCGCTCCTGTGCCTTCTGTGGGCGCGCTCGGCTTCTCTGTGCGGCCATGGCAGCCTTGGGCTTTGGGCTTCCGCTGGCATCCAAAACTTGTTACCGCTGTACCCTAGGCGGCGAGGTTTGAATCTGTGAATCCATTCGGTAGGTCGCCAAGAAGTAGGCTTGTCATTGAATGCATTGAATGCCTTTGCAACGAAATGAAGGCAGGAGTGGTGGAGTGAGAGCCCCAGATCTGAATCGATCTCGGCTTGACCACTGTTTATGACCGACGGCAATCAATTAGCTTTTCCGAGGCAGAATTGTGTCCTGCACTGAGGACAGGGTCGGGTGGACTGTACTGCCCCTTGTATAAATTCTCCTTCGGTGGTTTATTGAGTTTCCTGACTTTACGTTGAATAAGCGAAAGTCCAATTGGAAATAACGGTTAGGAATTCATCTGAGATCTTCTAAGCAGTCTGGAGTGAAATTACACATGACTAATGTCATTTTTGAAAGATACTTTAAATTTGTTTAATCTGGCATTGGCATAAAATTTACTAGCTTTTAAATTTTTTACTGCTTCCAAAAGTTTAGCGTAATTAATTGCAAAGTAGAGATAACATTTTAAACGGGTTTTTGGGGGTTTGTTTTGTAAGCTTACTTGAAAGATTGAGGTCTGGAAGTTTGTGGAGGGAGTACGTATACTGAACTTTTCACATATAGATGAAATACTGTAGCCAGTTAGAATGTGATTATCTTGAGAGGAAGGACCACATGTCCTTAGTATCTGCATAAGGTAGACATCAGTGCATACTAATTTACTGAAATGTGAAAGTGAAAAAAAAATTGGCAGCAGTCAAATTACAGGAATGGGTTCCAGTAAATGACCCGGTATATTTGAGTATAGTAAGAGACTAGATTGGGATCGATTTGAGGTAATTTATAGTTAGTGACGTTTGTGGCATTAGAATTAATAATGTATTACATAAATTTTGTGGTGAATTATGAAATAAAACTACTTGCCTTAAAATGCATATTACTAAATATATCAATAAACTGAAATACAATGTTAAACTAAATTTTCTGTTGCTTTTTCTTAATGTAGATGGATTCAAAACAAATTTTGAACTTTTAATTTCTACAAGACTGTTATTTCCTGCATTAAAACAATTTAGGCATTTCCTTTGACAAAAGCAAGTCGTATTGTCAGTCTCACATTAAATTAAAACAAAAAATTTTGTTTTGGACATATATGAGAACTCAGGTGAAAGACAATTTTCATTTATTGTTCAACAAGTACACTGGTATGTGTTAAGCACCTGTTCTATGCCTGGTATGTTCTTGGGCAGCATGTATGCAGCAAGGAATCAACTAGATAAGATCCCTGCTGGGAACCAAGCATGGCAGCCTAAAAACATTTAGTTAATGGTTATAAAGTAATGTTAAGGTACAGTGAATTAACCGTTCATATAATTTATTAGTTCTGTAATGGCAGTGAATTTATCAAATAACCCATTGACCAATCTATTATAAAGTCTTACAGATTTAAGCTTTGATGTTCTGTGAGCTTTTACTAAGGAAATTGAGAGCTAAGGCAAACGTTACTTAGTATCCCAAATAACTGGGCTCGATGTTTTCTAAATGTTCATCACAAATAGTAAATATAATAATAAATACTACCAGATATCATTGTTTATTCAACTGATTTTTCCAAAAAATATTTATGGAGCTAAGGCTGTATGTCAGACACTGTCATAGGTGCAGTAATAGTCCACATAGGGTTTACATTTCATTTGGAGAGACAGTCAACTCATATTGAACTGAAGATAGTGTTGAGTGGTATAAAGAAACCTAAAGAATAAGATGGGAGGCCTTTCTGAGAGAGATAATGCTGAGGAGAAACCTGATTGAAAGGTCTAGGAAAAATGTTTCCGTTTAGGAAAACAGCGAGTACAAACGTCTTGAAACAGGAATGAGCAGAGCACACTGCAAGAACCACGAGATTTGTGTTTGAAGCCAACAAAATAAAGTGATGGATAGTATAGTAGGAGGTGAGGTTAGTGAGGTAAGAGTAGTAGTGGGAGATTTTAAGCAGGAGATGTCAACATCTTTTTGTTATTTTTTGGAGGGGTCTAGGTTTTGGGGGTTTTTTTTTGTTGTTTTGTTTTTGGTGGATACAACTTACTTCATAGTTATTCCAACCTGGACATACTTTATATCATTCTTGTCCTTAGGCTAATGATGTTTTTGTCTTTATGGACCATGAATCTGTTCTTGCTTCCTTTGGTGAGTAGCTTCCTTTGTCCTCCATTTTTTTAACCTTTTTTTTTTTTATTATTAGTGAATACAGTGTTGACTGTTGTCTTTCTCTAGTATTTTGTTTACAGGGAAATTTTTTTTTTTTTTTTGTACTAGGGATCGAACTCGGGACCTTGTGCTTGCGAGGCAGGCGACGGCACCACTGAGCTAAATCCCAGGCCCAGAAAAATATTTTTTAATGATACTTGTGAACAGGGGCTTCAGAAAGTTTTTATTGACTTCATGGTAGGATTTTCAACCTAGTGTTATCATAGGTTAAGAAAGATAAATCCATTAAAATCCGTTAGCAATGTCACTGTAACAAGAATAATCTAATTATGATGTTTTACTTCCGAGCAGTGTTTGCATGTAAAAATAGCAGATTTGTTTTGTTTTGTTTATTTATTTATTTTTTGGGGTACCAGGGATTGAACTCAGGACCTTGCACTTGTGAGGCAGGTGGTGGTCATTTTATTATTAAGGAAAATACATTGTTATTGTGTATGTCCTAGGTGATGAATAAACATGTTCATGTATTTAAATTACCCCAAGACAGATTTTCAATTTTCACGGGCCTGAATAAAGCCCTTAAGCCATCTTGATCCTCCTTTCACAGATAAAAGAACAACTATATCATGTGGATTATTTTGTAATTTGTAAGTGAAGTACAACATGAGGATTTTACATAGTTTTCATAAGTTAATAAATTTAAATATGCATCGTATTCCTAATTCAGTGTTGATAGTGAGTTTTAGTGGATTATCCTATCTTTTAGCTGCTTTTCCTTGCAGCTGGTTCATAATTCACAATATAGTCTTGCTGTCTGTGTTCACATAAAAAGAACTTTACTGTAACTGAAAGCATTCTCTGCTTGAATTTTTTTTTTTTTCGGTGCCGGGGATCAAACTCAGGACCTAACGCTTGCGAGGCAGACAGCAGAACCACTGAGCTAAATCCCCTGCCCTCTATGTTTGAATTTTTAAAAAATTTATCCTGCCTTGTTGCTGCTTGTGACTTGCCTGATAAATTGAAAGCTCTTAAATTCCTAGACAGGGTCAGAGGTTAAGTAGAAGTGAATGGGTAGTTCATTATTCCCAAGTTTTTGTTAACTGTTTATTAGCACAGATACCTAAACATTTAAATAACCATTTTCTTATACTGAGGGTTTTTATTATATACTATCATTGAGGCCCAGTAAGATTAGAGGAGGAAGGTGTTAATGATCAGGTAAAGTAGGGTGACTACATGGGTTTATCTGTAATTACTTAAGAGTTCTTCTCTGCTTGCTTTGCTTACATTAAAAATATGACAAATAGGTCCTAGAAACATGCATATTTCTATTCCCTCAGATAATGGTCTAAATTTACTTCTTTGGGTCTGGAGGCTCTTAAAATATCATGTTCTTCATTATTTTTGCCCTTGTATTTTCCATTAATAGAGAAAAAAATTACTTCACTAATGGAGATAGAGTTAAGATTAATTTTCCAGATCCCTTTGAGAACAACTCAAGCAAAAGCCTTCTTTTTAGTAAACTGGTCTTTAACTAAACATTTGACTAAACCGTTCCTTAGTCTCCTTATCTTTGTAAGTTCTTTTTTTTTGGTACCGGGGATTGAACTCCGGTCCTTGAGCTTGCAAGGCAGGTGGTGGAACCACTGAGCTAAATCCCCGGCCCCAATCTTTGGAAGTTCTGATGGTAGCAGGAGGGTATGGGATTAGGGTTCCTTATGAGCTTTCTTGTCGTTGCCTTTGTTCATGTGGAAGGTGCAACATCTGCTGTGGCTTATGCGTTTGTCTTAGTCGCTGCTTTACATAGTCTGTGTTTTGATAGTGGTTTTATCTTTTTGATTAATAACTAAGTCATGGGTCACTTTATAAGTTTTATAGTTATTTTTTCCCTTTGGATGTATATTAAATTTAGACAGTTTAGTTATGTTTCTGTTAATCTTCACACCAGGTCTTTTCTGTGCTTTAGGTTGATTCTTCATCACACTGAAACCATTAGGAAAAATCCTTGTGGTTAACAGCAGAGGCTTCAGAGTGTAACGTGTACTCGGGCCTAGAAATTATTTTAAATGGCGACTGATACATCTCAAGGTGAACTCGTCCATCCTAAGGCACTCCCACTTATAGTAGGAGCTCAGCTGATCCACGCGGACAAGTTAGGTGAGGTAGGGGCTGATGCATTCTTGAAGCTCGCTCTTGGATCAACCCCTGACTTCAGGGCCTGCTGGGTTCTTCGTGGTACATGTTCTTATCCCTACTTTGGGAAGACTTAGGGTGTGAATCTGAAAAAAAAAATCTAATAGATGCAGAGTTCTTTTCATCTTCCCCTTCCCCTCAAATCCCTGAGAAAACCTTCAACCTTCTAAATTTATTCCAAATTATGTTTCCACGTGAATCTCTACCTAAAATGAAGTATTTTGAAGATTATTTCTTTAAAAAATTATATTTCACTTTTTAAAAAAAAACTTAAGGAATTTAGCCAGTGCTGCCTCCTTTGCAAGCTCAAGGTCCCGAGTTTGATCTCTGGTACCAAAAAAAACCAAAATAAAAAGCTTAAAAAAAAAAACTTACTAAAAATACTTTGCATCAGATCCTAGAGTCAACTTGAAGAATTCTCCTACATCTTTTGACACCCAGTTAGGCCCCTTGAGAGAGAGAAAAGAGAATTTTTTTATGCATGTTTGATTATGACCATCTCTTTTCTTAGAAGGTAGAAGATAGCACCATGCCAATTCGTCGAGCTGTGAATTCTACCCGGGAAACTCCGCCCAAAAGCAAACTTGCTGAAGGGGAGGAAGAAAAGCCAGGTAAAGCCGTGGCACAAAAGGCAAAATTTTTACTTCAATTTGGAGTATTTCATAAATCCCTTTGAATGTAATTGTTCTTTTTTCATGGTTACATGTTCTAGGGGAACATTTAAAGAGAAAAGCAGTAGTTATTGGTATATCATGGCCAGACTATGTGTGCAAAATAAGACTGCCTCTTAGATTTTTTTGGAAGGTGAAAATAAAATGTTCTTCGAATTAAAAATAGAAAAATGGGGAGGATAGGAACAGATTTAAGAGTGGGATCCTGGACATAACAATGTCACAAGAATGAAGGTTCTAAGGAATTCTGAAAGATTTGGGTCTGAGGGATAGAGAGTGGAAGGTTCCCCCAGAAATCATCAGGCAGCCTTAAGGGAAGCAAAAAAAGTGACCAAAACATTATTTACAACTGATACTGGTGGTGAAGAGATTGGCCAGTCAGGTAGGAGCATAATGAATGGAGAGTAATCCAGACCCATCAACTTGAAGAATTAGTGCTCCTTTATAGCATCTCTAACTGCTTCTGCTCCTTTTCCCTCATTTGTGTCTTGTGACCCCTTTCTTTCTGCTAACATTTTCTTTTTTCCCTTGTATTTTTGTTCAGGTTTGCTAGCACTCTATTTTGTCCCTGTTATGGCTGTTAGAATCAAATGTTTGCTGCCCAGCATAGAATAGAAACAAAATACAGTGCATCTGGTTGCATTTAGCTGTTAGTGCACTAGAGGTTTGCACCTAGATTTTTTGTCTGCAAATCCTTAGGATGGGTCCTATACACAATTTACCTTTGCCTAATGCAGTTAGGGAACATGACAATTAAAATATTAAAAAGAAATGAGTACTGATGAATTGATTATCTTATCCCACATTGGGATCACTCACTAAGAACATCAGTTTTCAGAATATATAGCAGAGGGTTTAGATGTACATTAGAAAAGTCAACCAAAAATTTATAAAGTAATTATTACTTCATAAGTTGTATACTTGTTTAATCTTCTGTATATCTTATTTTTTAAGTAGAAATAATTAGATTGAGTCTTTATTAAGCCATAACTCTAAAGCAACTACAGAGGCTGGGTGTAGTGGTGCACACTTGTAATCCCAGCACTTGGGAAGCTGAGGCAGGAGGATCACCCTGAGTTCAAGGCCAGCCTAAACTACATAGCAAAACGCTGTCTCAAAAAAACAAAAAAATAAAGCAAATACAGGCATACCTCACAGATAATTGTTTCACTTCAAGACTACTGCACTAAACCAAGTGTCATGATAAAGCATTTCCCAGTGTGTATAAAAGTTTCACTTACACTGTAGTATGTTAAGTATGCGGCAGACTTATGTCTAAGAAAGTACAAGCCTTAATTAAAAATAATTTATTGCTAAAAAATAATAATAATCCTCCAGACCTTTAGTGTTAATGGCCGAATTAGGATGGTGGTTGGTGAAGGTTGGGATGGTTGTGTCAATTTCTTGTACTAATACAATGAAATTTGCCATATCAGTTGACTCTTCCTTTCAGAAAGAAATTTTCTGTGCCCTGATACTGTCCAGTAGCCTTTTATCCACAATAGAACTTTTTTCAAAGTTGAATTTAATCCTCTCAATTCCCAACTACATTTGTTTTCATGGTACTGGGGATCAAAACTGTGGCCTTGGCGTTGAATTACAACCCTACCCCATTTTTATAAATCTTATTTTGAAACGCTCTCAGTAAGTCACTGAATCACCCACCCAAACTTACAAGTTTACAAACTTACAACTTACACTTGTCTCATCCTCCCAGAGTGCTGGGATCACAGGTTTGCACTACAGCTCCCAGCTCAATTAAGTTTACATAATAGATTCTTTTTTCATTTCAACAATGTTCATAGCATCTTTACCAGACATAGATACTGCTTCTTTGCTCATCTGTGAGAAGCAGTTCTTCATCCATTCAAATTTTATCATGAGATTGCAGCAATTTAGCTACATCTTTAGGCTTCACTTGTGAGTTTAGTTGTCTTGCTATTTCTACTACATACATCTGCAGTTTGTCCACTGAAGTTTTGAACCCTCCAAAGTCATCTATGAGGTTGAAATCAACTTCTTCCAAGCTCCTGTTAATTTTGATATTTTGGCCTCTTCCTGTGAATCATGAATGTTCTTATTGGCATCAAGCATGGTGAATCCATTCCAGAAGGATTTCAGTATATTCTGCCCATATCTATCAGAAGAATCACTATCTGTGGCAGCTATAGCTGGACACCGCCCCCCCATTTTTTTTTTTCTTTTTGAGACAGGATTTCACTGTGTAGTTCAGGCTAGCCTTAAACTTTGGATCCTTCTGCTTCAACTGCCCGAGTACCAGGTTTACAGATGTGTACCCTATCCCCAGCTACAAAGTACTTTTTTAAAATAATAAAACATAAAAGTTGAAATTAATCCTTGATCCATGAATTGCAGCATAGATGTTGTGTTAGTAGGCATATAAATAACATTAATCTCCTGCGTCTCCATCAGAGCTCTAAGGTAACCAGATGCATTGTCAGTGAGCAGTAATGTTTTGAAAGCAATCTTTTCTGACCAGTAGGTCTCAGCAAAGAGCTTAAATATTTAGTAAGCCATGTTGTAAACAGATGTGTTCTCCTCTAGGCTTTGTTCCACTGATAGGGCACAAGACTAGATTTGGTGTAATTCTTAAGGACTGTAGGATTTTTAGAATGGTAAATGAACATTGGCTTTGATTTAAAGTCACCAGCTATATTACCCTGATAAGAATCAGGTGTACTTGGAAGGTAGACATCGACTTCTCTTGCTATAAAAATCCTAGATGGCATCTTCTAATATAAAGTTCTTTTGTCCACATAAAAAATGTATTGCTGGGCTGGAGATTTAGCTCAGTGGTTTCTCCGCCTGCTGCTGCACAAGCACAAGGACCCGAGTTCCATCCCCGGTACCAAAAAAAAAAATGTATTGTTCAGAGTGGCCACCTTCATCAGTAGTTATTTTAGCTAGTATTCTGAGTAACTTGCTGCAGCTTCTGCATTACCCCTGGCTGTTTGTCCCTGTACTTTCGTATGATAGAGTAGACTTATTTCTTTAAATCTCATGAACCAACCTCTGCTAGCTTCACATTTTCTTCTAAAGCTCTTTCCCCTCAGCCCGCATAGTTCAAGAGAGTTAGGACTTTTCTCTGAATTAGATTTTTGCTTATGCGAATTTTGTGGCTGGTTTGATCTTCTATCCAAACCACTAAAACCTTCTATGTATCAACAATAAAACTGTTTCATTTTCTCATTTATATACATTATTTAGTAGGGTAGCAGTTTTATTCCCTTTTCCTTTGCATCCATGACTTGGCCACTGTTTCTCACAAGAGGCCTGTCTTAGCTTTTAACATGCCTTTCTCGCTTAGCTTAATCATTTCTATCTTTGGAGTTAAAATGAGAAAAATGCAAGCTGGGGTTTGATGGTGTGTGCCTGTAATCCCAGCACACTGGGAGGCTGAGGTATGAGTACTGAAAATTCAAAGCCAGCCTGGGCATTTTGGGGATTTAGCGAGACTTTAAGAAACGTAGGAAAGAAGCTGGGGATGTAGCTCATTGCAAAAGCCTTGCATTAATCCCCAGTACTGCCTAAAAAGGTAGTGGTGGTGGGGTTGCAATTCTTCATTTCATTTGAACATTTAGAGGCCATTATAAGATTATTTGTTGGCTTAATTTCAATATTACCGTGTCTCAGGGAATAGGGAAGCCTGAGGAGAGGGGGAAGACAGAAATAGTTGTTCAGTGGAGCAGTCAAAAGCATACATTTATCAGTTAAGGGCCAGAGATTTAGCTCACTGGTTCCAGCACCTGCCTGGCAAGCACAAGGTCCTGAGTTCGATCCCCAGTAAGTACCAAAAAAAAAGCTTTGTTCTCTGGCTGGGAATTTAGCTCAGTGGTTACGCCACCTGCCACACAAGCGCAAGGACCCGAGTTTGATCCCCAGTACCAAAAAAAACCAAACAAACATTTATCAGTTAAGTTTGCTGTCTTACATGGGAAAAGTTCTGTGTCACCCAAAAGAGGGAACAACAGTACCAAAGGTCACTGATTACAGATCACCATAACTAATAATAATGAAAAAGTTCGAAAACACATGATGTAGGAAAAGTGGTACCAGCAGACTTATTTAATGTAAATCTGTCATAAACTTTCAATTTACTTTAAAAAAAACCCTGCAAAACAATAAAACAAGGCATGCCTGTATTCTTTTTTCTGTTTTCTGTCAGTTCTTTGTTTCTTTGGTGATGGGGATTGAACCCAGAGCCCTGTGCATTCAGAAAATAATGCAAAATTTATAGCTTGTACTAGTATACCAGATATCTTTTTTTTTTTTTTTTTTTGGTACCATGGATCGAACTCGGGTCCTTGCACTTGTGGGGCAGGTGGTGGAACCACTGAGCTAAATCCTCGGTCCTCCATTTCTTTCTTATGCTGGGCATTCATGGCTTCCAGCATGTTTCTGAGCTCATCTATCTTTTTATGTGTTTCTGTTCTAGAGCTTCTAGGCATGTCTTTCACTCTGTTCACCATCTCTGTAGTTATCTGGGAGATTATTTCTGCTTTGGATTTTTCTAGA